GGAGGGGGGGTTCATCTTCTGATGTCATATATTTTTTACCTTTTGATAGTGTTAATGGGGTTCTGTGGCAAGGGCAACTGGACTGGTTTGCCATTTCCCTCTCCAGTTGACCACATTTTGTCAGAACTCTTCATTATGACCTGTTCATCTTGGGTAGCCCTGCACAACATGGCTAATAGCTTCACCGAGTTATGCAAGCCCCTTCACAAGGCTGTGTTCCATGAAGGGGTAGTTCCCTGGCATATCAATTTAATTTTCAGTATCTTTGGGGCACCTAGAAAAGCATACATGAATTAGGAAATATTAGAAAACCCTTTTATTTTTTTGTACTCTAAATTTTAATATGTAAGTGTTACACACCATTAAAATACACCTGGTATTATGGAATTATGCATGAGCAGAATGCATAAAGTAAGAAATTTCTTCTTTTTATATTACTAGATATCTCTAATTTAGGACCACATCAGTGGGGAGCTGATCCTGTAGCTATGATGAAGGTGTGTCTATAGCCTAGAACAGATTTATAGACTGAAGAAAAGTGAATAAAACCCAAGTTCTTTAAGAGTTGCACATTGAGGTCAAAGACTTTCCATTTGAGAAGGACTATGTAAGTCTGATAAAGAAGGAAAGGGGTCAGTTTTGCACAGTGGTGAAAAGAAAGATTAGCAAGATCTGAACTTGGATCCTACATTAGAATAATCTTTGCTATAAGTTCCAATAAAGTTTTTGTGTTCCTGATTTTGTGCTGGGAAGAAACAAGAATTATTTTACAAAATAGCTTCTGGCTAATTTTTACTGTTTGCTGGTAGAAGAGACAGGAGATATTTTCAGAAAACGTACGCACCCTCCAGTCCTTGGTGAGAATCATCTACTTTCAGGGGTCATGGTCACCTATGTGAAAGTGAAAGTTGCTCAGTTGTGTCCAACTCTTGTGACCCGATGGATTATACAGTCCATGGAATTCTCCAGGCCAGAATACTGGAGTGGGTAGCCTTTCCCTTCTCCAGGGGATTTTCCCAACCCAGGGATTGAACCCAGGTCTCCTGCATTGCAGGTGAATTCTTTACTGGCTGAGCCACAAGGGAAGCCCCACGGTCACCTATGATAGTTGATTAGATCCCCATAGGTGATTTGGGGTAAAAAAAAAGTTTTAGCTTTCTATTTTTTCTTTTTTTTTTTCTCAAGGCTTACTACATCATATTTACTTTATGAAATAAAATGAATCATTGAAAGCATCACGACTTTAGTTTAGTCAATATTAAATAACTATATTGGGGTATTTAAAAAGAAGATTTAGGTTAAACTTGAACAACTTGCAAGGTGCAATTGCAATTTTTTTTTTTGATAGAAGCACAATGTTCTTTTCACATTTCCTATGTCTCTGGCATTTATTATAAGGAACAAAGCATTTCTGGAATGCTCATTTTAATTTGAAAGCTCAGGCTATTCTTTGGAAAACATTTGGCACTTGGAGGATCTGAACAATAATAGAGGAATGTTCAGTGGGAAGCGTCATGAACTGTGGCACTTAAAATAAATTCTGAAGGAACATTTTAGACAGTGATACTTATTGTTCATTTTAAACAAAGGTTTTAAGCAAGGTGCTGTAATTTGTCTTAATCTGGACAAGTATCTTTTAACTCTTGATATATAAATTACACTGATAATAGCGCGATACCTGTCTTTTGGAATATGTGAAAACCCATGTAATAAGCCAGACTTATTATCATCTTTACATAATGCATGATAAAGACACGTGGCGCTATTTGACTGCATGTAGAGCACACAGAATGTGCTTTGCTAATTGACTCCTTCACAGTTAGCTTGGAGGACCCTATGAGCAAGATATAGATAGACCCCGAGAGAACATCTTTGACAAGGATCTCATGGGGCTGGACTAGAAAACACACGTTAAATACCATCCAACACTTGTGTCATGTTTTATGTCTTTAAAAACACTTTACATTATTTAAACGTCATATAATCTTACAGGATAGTATGATTATTATCATTTTCCAAGAAAGGAAATAAATGCTTGCTATAAGGAAATCCACTATGGGTTGTGAACATGGGAATAAAGCAAACTAGGATAAAGAAGGGGGTTTGTTGGACAGAGGGGGGAATAAAAGGGCAGATGAAAATTATTTTCATCCACATATTTCCCCCGTAGCTTGTGAGTTCTTTCTCAGTTCAGTTCAGTTCAGTCACTCAGTCATGTCCAGCTCTTTGCGACCATATGGACTGCAGCACACCTGGCTTCCCTGTCCATCACCAACTCCCTTCTCAGTTCTTGGCTAAGAACTGTGTCGAGTTAGTCAAATAAACAAATATTTAATGCTCTATTAATAATAAACAAGCAAAATTTCCAGGGGCTACAGAGCAGGAAAGATTATGTATAGTCTGTTGAAAAAGATGTGGTACATGATTGTTGAAAGCCTTGGCTCCTTGATGACACGCACGAGCCTAGCTTTCAACAAGAGTTTCAGGTCTTTTAAAATACTGGATAAAAGTGTCTTTTTTTCTCTACAGTGGGGATCTTCAAGTTTTGCTTATGAAAATGTTAACCATATTTAGTTATTGGGATTCAAGGTTTAATTAAGAAATGGATATTTTTCACAATGTAATTTTGTATAAGGTTTTGTTTCCAAATACAGATACTTCATTTCTGTCTCCAAACAATGCTCTTATCATGAGTTTATTCTTTTTCTCTTTTTAAATTAATTGCTTGTTTTTATTTTGGTTGCACTGGGTCTTTGTTGCTGCATGTGGGCTTTTGCTAGCTGCAAAGAGCAGGGGCTACTCTCCAGTTGTGGTGTGCAGGCTTCTTGTTCCAGTGGCTCTCTTGTTGTGGAGCATGGGCTCTAGGCACGTGGGCTCAGTTGTGGCTCGTGGGGCCCCAGAATGTGCAGGCTTTGGTAGTTGGGCCGAGGAGGCTCAGTAGTGGTGTATGAGCTCAGTTGCCCTGCAGCATGTAGAATCTTCCTGGACCAGGGATCAAACCTGTGTCCCCTGCATTGGCAGGCAGATTTCTATCCACTGTACCACTTGGGAAGTTTGAGTTTATTCTTATTTTAGCAAATCTACAAAAGTAATAATGCTCATTATTAGCATATTCAGGCAACTTAAAATATAGACATTAAAAAGTTTCTGTGTTCAAAACAGAAAGATAAATATCATATACTAATGCATACATATGGAATCTAGAAAGATGGTACTAATGAATTTATTTGCAGGGCAGCAATGGGAAACATAGAGAACAGAGTTATGGACATCATGGAGAGGGGAGGAAAGGATGAAATGTATGGAGAGAGTAACATGGAAACCTAAATTACCATATATAAAATAAATCTCCAGTGGGAATTTGCTCTGTGACTGGGGAACCCAAACAGGGCTCTGTATCAACCTAGAGGGATGGGGTGGGAGGGAGATGGGCGGGAGGTTCAGAGGGAGGGGACACATGTATACCTATGGCTGATTCATGTTGATGTTTGACAGAAAACAGCAAAATTCTGTAAAGCAATTATCCTTCAATTAAAAAATAAGTTAATTAACAAAAAAAGTTCATCTGTTCAACTACTCCATTCATTAAGCCATTTATATAAGAAACACTTATTGAACAACTATTTTATGTTGAAATTGATGCTTGCTCCTTGGAAGAAAAGCTATGACAAACCTAGAGAGTGTATTACAAAGCAGAGACATCACTTTGCTGACAAAGGTCCATATAGTCAAAGCTTTGGTTTTTCCAGGAGTCATGTACGGATGTGAGAGTTGGACCATAAAGAAGGCTGAGCACCAAAGAATTGATGTTTTCAAATTGTGGTGCTGGGGAAGACCACTGAGAGACGTTTGGACAGTTAGGAGATCAAACCAGTCATTCCTAAAGGAAATACACCCTGAATATTCATTGGAAGGACTGATGCTGAAACTGAAGCTTCAATACTTTGGCCACCCAATGCGAAGAGCCGATTAATTGGAAAAGACCTTGATGCTGGGAAAGATTGAGGGCAAGAGGAGAAGGGAATGACAGAAATTGAGATGGTTGGATGACATCACTGACTCAATGGATGTGAGTTTGAGCAAGCTCTGGGAGATAGTGAAGGACAGGGAAGCCTGGTGTGCTGCAGTTCATGGGGTCACAAAGAGTCTGACATGACTTGGTGACTGAACAACAACCACCACCTCAACAACTTCGTGCATTGCTCTGAGTGATGGAGAAAGACACTGCATTTCCTGTTTTCATGGAGTTTACATTTTGTGTGGGAAGGGTGCAATAAACATATGTGAACAAAAAATACCAGGCTCTGAAATGTCCTGAAGAAGTATAAAGGGTAGTGAGGGAACAGAGTGGAAGCGGATGAGGACTGGGGTGGTCAGGAAAGACTTCTTGATAGGACACGTTGAGGGGGATCTGAGTGTTGGGGAGGCCAACTGAGTTAGGGGATAGTGTAGGAGAGAGGTAAGAGCTTACAAAAGGCCAAAATGTAGGTCATAGTGAGAACTTGGGTTTTGTCCTCCTTAGATAGCCACTGTTTTACATGTTTCAGAGTGATTCTGCACTGCACCCCCACACACATTAGTAATCTCTTCTTAATCCAAATAGATTACTACCTACTGACTTAACTGTAATTATTTTTCCTCCTTCTTAATATAGATTGCTGGCTACAAAGTGATATAAATAATCATTTGATATATATATGTATATATCAAATAATATATATGTGTATATTATATATAGTATATTTTACATTGTTCCAATAGTAAGACTTGATGAGATTCCTTCCTTCCTTCCTTTCTTTCTTCCTACCTTTAGTTGGGAAGTCCGTAGTAGCTGATAATATTGCTATTGGTGACTTGACTTGACTTTTGGGAATATACTAGTAGTATTGGGAATGAATCATGTTATTATGAAATACTTCTTTTTGTTCTGGTCTATGATATCCCGAGACTGTTCCTCTTGCAATTTGTCTGACGAGTGACTTGTGTTTTTCCAATTTTAGGTTACTACACTTGTAAATTGTCCCCAGAATCCTTCCAACAGGAAAAAAGGACGTTCAAAAAGGGCCAGAGTCCTTCTAGCTTCTGTGGAGGAAGCAACTTGGAATTTATTAGACAAGGGAGAGAAGATTGCTCAGGAAGCCACAGTTTTAAAGGAAGAACTTACTGGGGCACTTGAGGAAGTTCGCAAAGAAAGTGAGTACTCTAGTCCTGGTTGGAAGCAACTGCATATCCTTATGGGATTAGGTACTGAATTAGACTTGAATGTTGTGTTTTAGTTGATTTGAGTTTAATTAGCCTTTTGGTGAGCTCTGAGGAGCTAACTGTGGAAGAGAGAGTGGCTCATTAGGCAGCTCCAAGGCTCAGAGCCCCACTCCTGATTCTTCCTTTATTTGTTCTCCTCACACCATAGTTTAGCCATAATAAACAGAGAAATGTACACTTTTTGTCATGAAATGAGAAATGACTAATGAAGCTGAAGACATCTTTTCCCATACATAAAAAAATTGTCAGTTTCCTTGTAAACAATTGGAGATAGAAGTTTCAGACCTGGCCACCTTAGAGGCATATTTTTCATGTTTCTGGAGGTTTATATTTCCTAAACATAAAAAATTGTTTTGCATAAACTATGTATAACTCACATTGTTGCTGTGTTACTCGTGCACAATGAGGGGAAATGTAGTGGGAATGATAAATCAGGAGCTTGATATGAACATAGGCACACTACTATATATAAGACAGAGAACCAACAAGGACCTACTGCATAGCACAGGGAACTCTACTCAATATTCTATGATAACCTATATGAGGAAAGAATCTAGAAAAGAATGAATATATGTATATGTATAACCGAATCACCTTGCTGGACACCTGAAATAAACACAACACTGTAAATCAACTATCCTCCAGTTAAAAAACCACACACACAAAATTACATACTAAAAACATGTATTTCACCTTTTGATATTTTGAATAGTTTTTTTTTTAAACATTTTTATTTATTTTCAATTGAAGGATAATTGCTTTACAATATTGTCAGTTTCTGCCATAAATCAACATGAATCAGCCAAAGGTATACATACCTCTCCCTCTTGGAACTCCCTCCCACCTCCCACCCCATCCCACCCCCCTAGGTTGTCACAGAGCACTGATTTGAGCTCCCTGAGTCATATAGAAAATTGCCACTGGCTATCTATTTTACATATTGTAGTGTATATATTTCCTTGAATAGTTTTATAATGAATGTATCATTAGCAGGCTATTTTATAAAGAACTGAACAATACTCTTCTAGTTAGTGGATTGATTTTATATATCAACTTGCTGTTAGGAGCTATTTTGAGATCACAAAGAAGCAAATTTTCCTGTTCAGCTTCTTAAAAGAGACCAGAGGGTATTCATATATATCCCTCTCCCCATCCCAAACATAATTTTAAGAAGATCAGGGAATTTTTACTAATTAAATACTTAAAATGAATAATTAACCACAATAAACTTTAGGTCAAATACAATTTTTTTGGTTATATATGTTACATGTGTGCATGCTGTTGCTTCAGTTGTGTTCAACTCTTTACAAATCTATGGATCATAGCCTGCCAGGCTCCTCTGTTCATGGGTTTCTCCAGGCTAGAGTAGTGGAGTGGGTTGCCATGCCCTCCTCCAGGAGATCTTCCCTACCCTGGGATCTAACCTGTATCTCTTATATCTCCTGCATTGGCATGCAGGTTTTTTTTTTTTTTTTGCTNTTTTGGCTGTACAGTAGCATGGCATGTGGGATCTTAGTTCCTCGGTTAGGGATTGAACCTGTGCCCCCTGCAGTGGAAGCACAGAATTTTAACCACTGGACCACCAGAGAAATCTTTAGACTCAACTTCCTAAAGGTGGCAAGCACCAAGTTTATTTGACACATAACAGACACCTGATAAATGTTTGTTAAATAAAAAAAGAACCTAAGCATCTTTTTTTTTTCTGTAGGATTTTATTTAATTTATTTTTTTCCCATTTATTTTTATTACTAAGCATCATTTTATGTTATAAAAATTTATAATTATTTTTGCCTGTTTTTATGAAAAAATTTCTTTCATAGTTATGGTTTCTTTGCTAAGTGTTTGGAAAGAATATGAACCCTATTTGGTACTCTTTCTCTCAGAAAATGTGATATATTTGCCACCATAGTAAATCACCTGGCACTAAATATGTAAGACTTTGGTCTTTCTTAGAAGAGAATAATAATTGTAATAATTGTTAAGAAATGGTATTTGCTTTTTAAAGAAACAGTAATCAACACTTTTAGCTCAACAAAAGTAAATTATTTTAAGGAAAAGTTGTCAAAGAGAAGTCTCTTTGGATTCTAGAATTATGCAATGTATCCCTCACTGTGTTCTGCTATAATGTGTGAAATACAAATACATGGCATATGCTATATACACAACAAATACATTTGGTTAAAGATCACCAAGTGCTTTATACTCCTAATCTTTTTGACCAACTGCCAAATTGAATTACTGCCACTAGTGTGTAGGAGGAAGGCAGTGAAATGGCAAATGGTTCTGGAATTTGGGGAATGGCCAATGCTTATCTTGTGGATAGCAGAGATAGTGACAGTGAGAGCACTGTTCTCTAAAACTTGGAAGGAATTTTAGCTCAGTGGTGGAGTTGAAGTATCAGGAGAATGAGTTCTGATCCAAGTAACTCTGTATAATACTAGAAACATATTTTAAAAATTTCCTGCTTTCGTCTTTTTTTCTTTTTTTTTTTGAGGGCTTTGTCTAGTGACATAATGTGAAGGAGTTTTGAAGAGCAAATGATAAGTGTAATGCTTTTGAAAGAGGGAAGAATATTGTAAGTAGAGGATATTTTTATCTATACTTCAAGAAGAATTCTGACACTCATTTAAAATTTTTTTCTAATAAAAACATAGTATAATTTACATAGCCTTATTATAGGAGTCTCTTTTATTCTGTTTTACTGCCCTCTGTGGCTTTAGCTAGACAGTTGAAGTGATAAATAAAATGGGCATTTGGTTACCTAAAGAAGCTGCTTGTAGAAGATAGTATATGGATAGTATTGGGGGTGAATGGTGAAAGGAAAGGTGACACTGTCAAGATCCAGAAACTGTGGTCCATGTACTGATTATATATGGTCACTCATAACCTAATAGATCTTTTACAATGGTAAAGTATTAAATCTGGTATTAAATAGTTTTAGAATGTTCACATAACAGTTACCTAGGAATTAGCTAGGAATTGTTTATAATGTCTGGATTACCTTTTTTGCCTGTAGCCTATTTGCTCCTTCTGTGTACCCTTTGCTCTTCTACAACAGACATTGTTTGTAAGTCATACAATTGGTTGTATAATATTTAAGGATTTTTAGTGGTTTATTAATAATGACATATGTACAAAAAAATGTTGTCAAACAACTCAGTATATTTTCATTGTGAATATATGAATGTAACCTTCACCTAGATCAATAATAGAACAATAATAGAACAATAGAATATATAGAATTACAGAATAGAATATATAGAATATGTAGAATAACAATAAATAACAATAGAAATATATAGAAATAAATAAATAACAATAGAATAAATAGAATAACAATAATAGATTAATACAATCAAAAATAGAACAATACTAGAACCCTAGAAGCATACCCTGTGTCAGTTACTATTCTCACCACACAGGTTACCATTATCCTGCTCATTACATAGAGTAGTTTTTTTTCCCCCTCTTTTTAAACTTTGTATAAGTAGGATCATACAGTATGTAGCCCCTTGAGTATGGCTCCTTTTGCTCAATGTTATCTTTGTGAGGCCTTGCCATATAGTAGTTCGTTTGTTTCTGTTGTTGAATGTGTGCGTCCTAAGTCACTTCAGTTGTGTCCGACTCTTTGTGATGCTGTGGACTGTAGCCTGCCAGGCTCCTCTGTTCATGAGATTCTCCAGGTGTCAATACTTGAGGGGGTTGCCGTGCTCTCTTCTGAGGGAATCTTCCTGACCCAGGGATTGTACCCAGGTCTCATGTGTCTCCTGCATTGGCACGTGGTTTCTTTACCACTGGTACCACCTGGGAAGCCCCTTCATTGTCTAACAGCCCATAATTATTTATCCACTCTATTGTTGATGAATGTTTGAGTTGTTTCCAGTTTTTGGCTTTAATGTACATTCCTCTTATGTACATATCTGCGTATTACTTATGGTGCATGAATGTAGACATCCTGTTGGGTTTATACCTAGGAAGGAAATTGCTGGGTCATAAGGTAAACATTCAGCTTTAATAGATATTACCAAACAATTTTCCAGGCTGGATTTTCCAATTGACATACTCATCAGTAATGTATAAGAATTCTAGTTGTTTTACATTCTTACTAACTTGGTGTTAACAAGTCTCAGTGCTTTAAATTCAAATATATATAGTGGTATCCCATTGTCATTTTTCTTTATTTTACTTTTTAATTAAAAATATATGAGTATAATTGAACAATGGACTGGTTCAAAATTGAGAAAGGAGTATGTCAAGGCTGTGTATTGTCACCTTTCTTATTTAACTTATATGCAGAGTAGAGCACATCATGCAAAATGCTGGGCTGGATGAATCACAAGCTGGAATCAAGATTGCTGGGAGAAATATCAACAACTTCAGACATGCAGATGATACCACTCTAATGTCAGAAATTGAAGAGGAACTAAAGAGCTTCTTGATGAGCGTGAAAGAGGAGAGTGAAAAAGCTGTCTTAAACCTCAACATTCAAAAAATGAAGATCATAGCTCCCAGTCCCATCACTTCATGGCAAATAGAAGGGGAGAAAGTGGAAACAGTGACCAATTTTATTTTCTTGGGCTCCGAAATCACTGTGGATGGTGACTGCAGCCATGAAATTAAAAGATTCTTGCTCCTCAAAAGGAAAGCTATGACAAACCTAGACAGCATATTAAAAAGCAGAGACATCACTTTGTCGACAAAGGTCTAGATAGTCAAATCTATGGCTTTTCCAGGTGTCATGTATGAATGTGAGAGTTGGACCATAAAGAAGGTGGAATACTGAAGAAATGGTGCTGTGAACTCT